TGCCTCTGCTGAGAGCATTTGTAAAGTGAGCAGTTGGGCATTTGCTTCCTCTGGAGCATCACAGCATCCTGAAATATTGTGCTGCCTCTGGCTTCTCTCTTCAGAGTCTTAAGGAGAACACTGATCTCTGTTCACTGTGTTCTGATCACTGATCTCACTGAACACTGATCCTTCTTCACAGAGAATCAGGAGTTCTCCGAGTATATGAAATTGATTGGTCAGTTATTTTTAAACTATTTTTTACTAAAAGCAACGACAGAAATCGAAACATTCGCTGGACCAAAGAAAACAAAAATGGCAATACAGGAAAGAAACAAAGTGTTCCTAATAAGAGACACCCGATACCCAACATGTTGGTCAGATCAGATCTAACCCTTTGGCGCCATCACTTTTTTCTTAGTTCTTTTCCTTATAGAAACTATCTATGTACCATGTCAATTTCCATAGTGAGGATAATCTAAATCCTGATAAAACGTATCCTTTCATGTGGTATAAATTATTAGAGGAGCATTTATTTTCATTTATTGTTTTCCTGTCTTGCTGCTAAACGTTTTACAAAACACAGTTTGTAACTTTGCTTCAAACAATGCAATTTTGTTTTTTAAGTGATTTTGAGTATTCCCACTGGCATTTTCCATGTGTACTTATGAACAAGTGTAATTTATTACATGTTTGGATGAATTGAAGGAATTGAAATATAGAGTTTTTGTACAAAACAAAATGTCTGGGAGTCTAAGGGTGAGCAGTGTGCCATTAGCAATCCTGGTGACCCTTCGTTTTGTGATGCACCTATAACATTACATCTAAAACCTATTCATAACATTATATTGCAGAAGACATCAAATCAATTTATGTTTTTGGATAAAGATTTTTTGGGGGGGTTGTTTTAAAAACAGTAATTATTGAAACAATTATCCACTCTGGTTTGGATTCTGTAGTGGTTCAGAAATTAATCCAACTAAATATGTTTGTTTATATTAGCATTCGGTACTATGGAAAACTATGACCACAGGAAAACTGTTTACATCTGACAAAACCTTTGACCGTTTAGCTGAGGCCTAAAATAACAACACATCCAAACAAGAAGATGAAAAGACTGTAAAAGACAGGAACAAAGCAGAGAGAAAAAATTGTTTAAACCATTTCTTCCTTTAATAATGGGGGAATATGGGATCACTGACAAATATAACAAACCATGAAATGCTAAAGAACTGAGACTATTGTAGTATGTGTTTCAACAAGACATGGCTGCGTGAACACATTTCAGAAATCGATGCATCTCTATCCTGCTGTCAGGCTACACAAATTGAGATTACAGAGTGGACAGATTGATGATGCAGGGATTGTAGTTGTTAACAACAGATGACGTAATTCTGAGTATTGAACAGACATGGGGCATTTATGCACCTGGAATATTTAACTAGACTGTGATCTTCTCTGTTGTCTATCAGTAAAATGTAGTTGTGCTATTGTTGATGCTGCATGAGTAGGGCTGGGTACCTTTCTAAAAAAATCGGTACCGGTGTCGGTACCTTCACTTTGGTGTCGGTTCCTGGACGGTTCTTTTTTCGGTATCAATTTTGTAATTACTATTAATTCTAACAAAAATAAAATTACATTACACATTACAGTACAAATTGTGAGTATTATTTTTTAACTTTGGTATTTTTCCATTCCAAGCAGTTTTCTTACATAAAAACAAACAAGTAATTTCCAGGTCAAAAGACCAATTACAAACCAGTGAACCAGTGACAAGTCAGTGTCTAATGCTCACTGCTACACACTGAGGACCTTTTCACTGAACAGTTTTTCTTCAGAAACATCAACATGTCTGTTTTCTGTGGACACAAGCAAGCCCACTCCTGGCTGATGGTGTCTCCAGCAGTAGAAAATGTTCACTCTGAGGGTGTGGATGATGCTTTTTGCACACACAGGTACCTGGTTGTCAGTTTGATAGCACTGACATATTGTCCCTCACATCCCACCAGCAGGTCACTGGATTCACTGAGGTAGGGTTGATGCAGACATCTGCACCTCTGTGTCTCTGCCTGAATCTTCTCTGTGGTTCTCTGGGGTTTAGGACTCTGATCATCTCCCTAATTGACATGAGAACAAAACATCAACAATAACATGGTTGTGTTATTATTGATCAAAAAACATTATCTAGGCTGAGAGATAAAGGGTTAACTGGTCAACAAAATCCTTTAAAGTTTAACTTACCTCCAACATGCAGCTCCACTGTAGAAAAAGCAGCAAACTTTTAACAACAAAGTCTGACTGTCCTGTGGCCCCCACCTCGCTTTTCTGTCTGTCCTCACATCTGGGTCAGAACCTCCTGTGAGGAGAACATGAACATAAACAGTGAACATTAGTGAACTGTTTAAGCAGCTGACTGGATGGATGAGCAGTTTTACAAGCTAAGCTTTATGTTACAGTCAATCTTTAGTTAGCTTCTGAGTTTAGCTAGCTACGTAGATAAAATAAATTTACACACTAATATGTTAAAGTTAGTGTTACATGGATCATAGTTTATTTCACCGCGATGTACGTGTTAAGCTGCAGTTACGCTAACAAACGTAAACTCACCAGCTGAAGCACACAGAGCCATCCTCGGAGTTCTTTGATGAAGAGTCTGGTCGTGGAGATAATGAATCAGGACGTTCAGGCTCTACTCACAGGCTGACTTTAATGCTGGGGGGAGGGGGG